CCCCAAAACCCCAAAACCCCAAAACCCCAAAACCCCAAAACCCCAAAACCCCATTTTTAGATTTTGTTATAGAATTAAGTAATTATTTTCGAAATGTCAACTGAACTAAGTAAGAATACTTTCTCATTATATTGGCAAAGCTTTTAAGTCATAATTTTCAACACAGATTCTTAAGGATTATCCTACTGTTTGGCATGAAAAATTTTATCCCGATAGGTTTCATGAAATTATTGACAATTTTATATAGAAGAATTCAGGACAAAAACAGGCAACCCAGATCGTAAGCAGCCTTCTTAAGACTTAGCCCCTCTGTAGTAGAATTGCGCATGTTTAGTTCTAATGCAGCCCTGTCTTTTACTTCAGTAGATTTGAGATTTGAGATGAAATTTTAAAAATTTTGGTTAAAATCTTAATTTCTTAAATTACCTTCTTTCTGGTAGATCTAAACATGACTATAGATGATGACTCAGAAATGGGACAGAGCGAGTCAGAATCATTTGTTAGTGAGATGAACGATACAGACCATGATGAAGTGCATAAAACCTTTAGACATAGAGGCAAGGTTTTAAGAAGGTGGAAGCGACTTGTTAAAGTCAACTCAACTCTTTATTTACTCACTAGTTTGGCCTGTCTGGGATACTCAATGGTTTTTGCTTCTACTCATCATACTCATAATATGGGTATTTGAGTGGCAGGAATTGTGGCTTCAATCTTTGGACTTTTTACAACACTATCTTCCAAAGATCCTTCACCATTGAGGATATACATTGGAGCTATAGTGACAGGGCTTGCCACTTGAGCGATTAGCCTGTATGTGATAGTTGGGCTCAGCATGATTGTTATCCAAAGCGTTGACTACGCTTATGAGGACCAGTACGATAATTTTTCCTTTAGAGAGGTAAGCTATCTTATTGACTAAGCCATAGATAGCCATGATGTATGCACTAGGATTCTTCTTCATTTTATTCTCTCTAAGCACCTTCATCACTCACATAAGGCTCTACGTTGTCTCAGAAGGTAAAGACTTGCACTAACTTTATAGAGAAGAAGAGTTTGGCATTGCTGATTCATAGCTACAAGTGTTATACCTTCTTGAAGGATGGGTCAAAGTAATCCATGACGAAAGATTCCATGATTATTCGATTATTCAATATGCAATGAATTGGAAGGGGTTTTGGGGTTTTGGGGTTTTGGGGTTTTGGGGTTTTGGGG